TTACGACACATTACCTACTCAAAACCTGCATATCGAGGTACGAGCAGTAAAGCCTGGAACCTAAGCGTGGAGTCGGCCAAGGAGTGTTCTTCCACTTCCTTCTTTCAACCTTTCAAGCGGAGAAACTGGCCCCCTGATCAGGAAAGGGGCGGTGAGCGTGTATGTCTCCTCGACCCACTACCCTGTCAGAAACACGCCTACCCTCATGTTCTTCGCAGGAATGCAATAAATAAAAGTAATAGTGACCCATATATCCTACAAGGCCGAAAAAAAGAAATATTGACCAATGTATTCTATGAGGCCGGACTTCGTGTGGTTAGTGTTAAGGTGGCGATGGTTCCTGGTAAAGTTGGAATAAACATGGTGGAATCCCCCATACGTCCACCGACAAGGCTGCCAGATGGGAAAAGAGACTCGTGCTAATTTAAACCTGTTTGATACCAATGGTTTATTGGCCGGAATAATATGAGTATATATATTGTGTGTGGTAGTTCATCGGGTTTTAGCGGTGAGTTCGAATCCCATTACTGGTACAACGTGAGAAGCCAGTTATTGTGTATCCAGTCTTGGAGAAATATTGTGGTGTAAAACCCAACTCGCTTAGTAATAAGTAAATGACTAACTCACTGAACATATAATACAACAATAATGAAACTGTAATAATCACAAGTACAACTGTATGTTTTAAGTGACCGTGGTAATGGAAGAGTTGATGGTTCTTCAGCAGTATTCTAGGGGATGGGGGGCAGGATTCTGGCAGTGAGTATCTACCATGCATGTGTTTCCTCCCAAAATACAGATAAGATAAGATAAGATAAGATAATTTTTATTGCAGAAACGTTCCATTACGGGACAGATGCAATTTTAAAAGACAAGACATTATGATTTACATATACATATATACAGACATACATAATTTACATTCCTGTAGACACATACAAAAACAAAATAATCAATATTACATATTTTTATACATAACATGTCAACGGTTGATTATGAGGGGGTATTTATTGTTTGAAATTATAGATGTGGAAACAAATGCAGTTGATATTGACTGCTTCATTATTTGACAGGATGTATTGAAATAATTTGTCTTCATGACTGTGGACATTTACATTTACATTTCGTCTGGATAGTTTTTCAAAGAGTATATTTCTTTCTCGAGTGTGTTTAATACAGTGAAGTAAGTAATGTTTTTCGTTATCAATGATTGAACATGTAGAGCATAGCCTCTGATGTAGTGGGGTTGGTGGCTTTGTGTGTCTTCCAAGTTCAATATTTAATTTATGGTTACTTAATCTTAGTTTAGAAAAGTGAACTCGATATTTTTTTACTTTACAGTGACTGAGATAGGGTTCTAAATTTAGATTGAATGAGTATGTTCTTACGCCGTTTTTAGCCAAATTCCAGCAACACACGCGGGAGACACCAGAAATTGGTTTCACACTTGGCACTCATGTGGGGAGTCGAATCCGGGCCTTAGGGCATCCCCACCCCCAACCACGGTACCGGGATTCGGATTAATGAGATTCCATATTTAAAGAGCGTGCTGCGCGAGATGCGAGATGCGAGATTTCGGACAAATGGACACATTTACCGCCCTCCCGACAGACGGTCAGTCACCCCGAGACGAGAAGCAGGGGCGTGGCCCATGGGGATGGCGTTCACATGTCTGACGTGAAAGGTGGGGGTGAGGGGAGGGACACTTGTTCTGTTTATACAGCAGAGGAGGGTCCGGGGAGGGAGAGTTCCGGAATTCTTATCAGGGATGTCTTAGCTATCTACTTTATGTTCGACAGACAGGTTGGGCACTAGCCTTGCAGTCCCGAGACCGACATTCTTGGAAAGACTGCCGTTAGTGTACCGAACCACTTATCCAAGTCGTGTTTAGTTCAAGTTTAGTTCATTTTTAGTTCGAATATCACACACCAGAGATATTTGTTTGTAATTTTTTCCATATGTGTGAAATGGATTAGGACTACGTAATTATGCGGCCCGTGGGTGGCAAAACAAACAGAGTTTATTGTTTCATTAAACCATGCAGCTATCGAGTTTCCGACCTCGCTGGCTCTAAGCCTCGCTTTAGACAAACAATGTAATTACCGAGTAATCACTATATTCAAAATTCGTAAAAACGGAAATCTCTCCACAAATAAATGGTACGACTGTAGCAGTATGTAATACAGCTGTAGCAGTATGCAATACAGCTGTAGCGGGATGTTGATGTTGTTTACTGTATTGTACGGGATGTTCTTTGAATATGAAGGTCAGGTTTGACGAATTGGGATTTAACAACGCGTATTCGATTATTAATGCTAGCCCACTTACCATGTCGTAGTTTATAATGGCTGTCCCACTGAAACACAAAGTATATTGACTCGGAGTCAACCTGCCTTTTTTCCACCAAATTAATACCGAACGCCAGGCAGGGTAACGACAAGCACCATCTTTTAACGTATTTTAGTATGACTCAGGCAAGGATCCGAACCACCGACCACCAGCCCTCCGGGCAGACGCTTTATCCACTAGACCATCTCTGAGTCCGCACTGGTACAAGCCGCCACAGCCGCATGTTCACTATATGAATTAACTAATAATAAACCGCGACTTAGACCCGTGCTTGTCAGAAGGGCGACTATGGTTGTCGTAAGAGGCGACTAACGGGATCGGGTGGTCAGGCTCGCTGACTTGGTTGATGCCTGTATCCCATTTGCGTGGATCGATGCTTATGATATCAGTCACTCGATTGCCTGATCCAGATTCGATTATTTACAGACCGCCATCATATAGCTAGAATATTGCTAGTATAAACAAGTAAAACCCCATTTGACCATAGCCACCCTGATGTTAGACTTAAGACCTGCATCACGTCGGGCTCCCCCACCCCCCTCCAACCCCACCCACACCACCCCCCTCCCACACCACCCACACCACCCCCCTCCCTAGCTTGCACGCCGTGATGTGACTTAAATACTGTTCACAAACTCAGTCCGATTCATCAGAATTAAATTTTAATTTTCAGTTATCAAGAAGATCTATATGATCACGTGCGTATCATGATATGCGTGCGTGGTGTGCGTGCGTGCGTGCGTGCGTGTGTGTATACACCAACGATGTAATTATGAAACAGTTGAAATCGAATCACCGTTTCCAACTTTCTCTTGATATCACATAGTCTGTCTTACAGACCCTGATACAAATATATATCAAATACAGCCCATGCAAGTCTATAATGTTTGGCAAGTCTAGATCACTATCTGAAAATGACGAGAGTCACTGGGCTCCTTTTTATTATATTTTTATTAAGATAACTGAACAACTGTTTTTTTATGTACAATATGTTCATTTCAGAGACTAGATGTTAGTCTAGATATCACACGTCATGATATTATAGGAAGTGATAACTTTGACCCACTCGATTCTCCTACACCGGCGAAGTATCCACTTGTGACATGCAAGAACACAGTCCCAGCCATCCTCTGTGATTAACCATTGTCCCCTTGCGGGGAACTGCCCACAGCAAGGTCTTGTAAGAAGCCATCTCACCTATAACACAGCTGATAAAATAGACACTCTGCGATATCACCGGCGGTAGCTGTAATTCCTAATGGCGACCAGTATGTTTTGAGTTGTCTTCGTACATTACCTAATTGCTGTGTGACATAGGCCACCGTCCGTTTACTGCCAGAACGTGTTTTATTGCAACTAGGGCAACCACGCCCCAGCCCCTTGTCTCCCCAACCTTGGATGATCTTTGTAATAGATCGTTTCATACCGGAAATTGTCGAAGGCTACCGGAATTTACCGATATATATTTTTTTACTCCTTGCAATATGATCCAATTGGTAGATGAAAAATAATGATGTAAAAGGGGTTATTTTAAATACGTATTGACAATAAACATTAATGTGTTGGTAATAAAAAAAAAGTTTGTTTTGAAGCAATGATGGAAACAAGCGCCCTTCTCAAGAATATTTTATAAATAACTAGCCAGGAAACACAATACGCGTATCACACTCGGAGAAGCCACACGGATATGCCACCATTAAGACATACGGATATGTTTACACATTTCCAGAGAAATTTAGAATAAACTACACGACTGTCAACACGTAAAGTTATTATTTCGTTTTGTAGGTGATAGTGGTCAGTCTCGCTGTAATACAGACCATGACCATTTACTTCGCGGAAATCAGCTAATGCTGTGGCATTGCTGAAACCACCAATGAGGTAGGAAAGTCCTCACTTTCCTTGTAGTGTGTGTGTGTGTGTGTGTGTGTGTGTGTGTGTGTGTGTGTGTGTGTGTGTGTGTGTGTGTGTGTGTGTGTGTGTGTGTGTGTGATATCACTATAAGAGAAGTCCCAACGCCATTGAAGGGTAAACGCCTATATGACACTTGTGACTTTGGGATCTCCTCCCACATTAAGCTAAGACGCCGTAATATAACTGAAATACAGTTCAATGAAGTGGCGACTGTAGTCATAGGGGGCTATGCTTGACGTAAGAGGCGACTCACGGGATCAGGTGGCCAGGCTCGCTGACTTGGTTGATGCATGTCATCGTATCCCAATTGCGTGGATCGATGCTCATTATGTCAATCACTGAATTGTCTGGTCCAGACTCGATTATTAACAGACTGCCGTCATATACTTAGCTTGAATATTGCTGAGTGCGACTTTAAACAACAAACAAACAAACACAAACTCACTCACTGTTACACCATAAATACAATTAGAAACCAACTGACAAGGAAAGCATGGCATGATGCCGGGTTACATAATGACAAGCCGCAGAAGCTAAACAGAAGCAAAGCTGATGTAAAGCAGTAACAAGGGAGAAGCAAGAGCAAAGCAAGAGCAAAGCAGGCGCAGTGCAGGCGCAAAACATAGCAAGTGGAGAAGGCAGATGCAAAGTAGGCGAAAAGCCGATGCAGAACATGCGCAAAACAGAGCAAGCAGGTGCATTGCGGGTGCAAGGTACGCGCAAAGCAGGAGCAAAACATGCGCAAAAGAGCAAGCAGACGCAATGCAACAGCAAAGCAGGAGCAAGGCAGGAGCAAGGCAGATGCAAAGCAGATGCAAAGTGGGAGCAAGGCAGTAGCAACCCATGCGCAAAACAGAGCAAGCAGGTGCATTGCAGGTGCAAGGTACGCGCAAAGCAGGATAAAGGAAGATGCAAAGCAGATGCAAAGTACGCACAGAGCAGTAGTAAAGCAGATGCAAAGTACGCGCAAAGCAGTAGTAACACAGCATGTAGTACAAAGCAGACGCAAGGCAGGTGAAAAGCAGTAGCAAATCAGTTGCAGCACAGAAGAAAAGCAGAGCGCTCACATTATAAGTAACACTGGCTTGCACTTGCCCTGCCAGCCTGAAGTACAACGTAGGATGAAATACAGCTTCAACGTCGAACGCGTGTATACGGCAATATATGCATAATTGAAGCAAGGATGAGAGTGAAGCCAAATTTCCGTTAATATCAAAGACCATATACATGTATGGTCTCTTGTTAATATCAAGACAAAATCGCTTCAGTGTGTCCTTCTTGTTGTATTAGTGGCAGAATCTTTTATTTAACACTTTGCAATTCCTGGAATGCCAATGGCGAGAAAATGACCCACACATGCGCAGTGAACATGAAACGCTGAACCGTCACATCTGAGATCACTCCGCCAGGCACGTAGGGACTATATTTCATCCGTCCTGTGACTGCCCCAAACCCACGCACTGTCTGGCGATATAATGGCATGCGTCCTCAGCAAGCAAATTACGTCGCTAATTAATCTGTGTTTATGTTACGGCTTTTGAACTCATCCCTTGCATTCCATATTGGAATCGCAGCAGGTGTTACCAGGGATCGTAAAGAGAGGTGCCATCATTTGCACAGGATTTGTTTGTGACATCACGGACTTGTATTGGTCCGTGGTTACATACATACAAGCACAGTATAGATGTAACTGTATATAGGAACTCGTCAACGATGCTGTTGATAACGACAGTGTTCAGCATTTGTAAGCGACGTGTGTTGTTGTTACAAAAGAGAAAAGCTTTTTGCAAATTTTAAATAATTGATTTTCTGCCCGCCATGTGTCATGTAACACTATCATGTAAGCAACATTCCCAATTTAGATTAAATATTTTTATAAATATTTTAAGGACTTAAATGAAATCACTAAAATATATTTGTCAATTGAAAGGATATAAGGACATCTTCAAATATTCAGATTAATGTCCCTTTTCTTGAAACATAAAGTTTTTATTTTCATTTAAAGTTCATTTAAAAAATAAAACAACAAGATAGTCATGTATTTTCTCTAAAACGATAAACCCCACTCATCCAATTATGAATTTTGGTCTCGGGAGACCAAGTCTTCGAAGGCACCGCAGTTGCCTCCCTTAGCCGTGATTGGGGGTTCGAGTCCCATATTATGTTTTTCCAGCTTTAGCAGCACCATCTCTGTGCTCATGGGTTTCACCAATGTGGCACGCGTCTACGACATGCATCACCCCGGGCTGTCCTCCCATATCAAGCAGACACGCAGTGACATTACTGGAGCACTGTATAAAGCGGTGTTAAACCAAATTAACTCACTCACACAATTAGATCTGATGTTCTCGCCTGGTGACTTGGATAATAAATGGTTTGAATATCCTTAACATGAATCACAACATGTGTACAATATGTGAAGCCTATGTCTTTACACAAGCACATCCAGTAATTTAGCACGGGAGTTTCAATGTGAAAACATCCGATGCTGATACCTTTTCACAAAATTCGATATCCATACAGTGACAAGCACAGGTTGAATGCTTCAATGGGTTTGACAAGGCAGATCCTGTGATGAAGGGTACTGGGATTTTTGCAACATCGTCCTCGACGGCCGAGGTTGATACTGAGCACACAGATTTTGGAGTTTGGTAGTTACCATGATGTTGAAGACTAAAATCTAGTCTCTGAAATGAACATATCGTACATAAAAAAACACTTGTTCAGTTATCTTAATAAAAATATAATAAAAAGGAGCCCAGTGACTGATACTGCAGTGATCTAGACTTGCCAAACATTATAGACTTGCATGGGCTGTATTTGATATATATTTGTATCAGGGTCTGTAAGACAGACTAATGATGTTGTTGTTTCGCTAGTTTTCGTTTTCAACAATATAATTAAAGAAATGATTGAAGCAATTTAATATATAAAAAACACTTTCGTGTCATTATTGTTCGAAAGAGATATGGTTACTGACGTTGTACTAGGTAACTAAAATTATATTCATTTTGCATTGATATATTGAAATACATTCGGAATTGATGTATGATGGTAAATATGCATGCAACATAGAAAACAAAGGGAAGATGCGATCACCTTGTCTTACTCCAACTTTTCAATGAAAATGTCCATACAGCTGGAAATTATTTTACCCCTTCTAACTAAACTAAGGGAAAAAAGAAACTTTACCTCTCAGTTGATTTTATCGTATGTTTGATTTTCAATTTAAGGTAGCGATATTATATCCCCAAAAATGAAATGTACTGGCACTTATATAATGAGTCAGCACTCCAAGAATATTTCTACATTGATTTACATTTTCAAAGATTATTTGAGTTAAAGCTTTTAATTATTTTTAAAATCGCATAATACACATGTGCTGATATCTCAGAGATCTTATCTTTGAAAATCAATAAATTTGGGGGTTTTTTCGCACATATTTCAAACATGGTAGGGGTCATGTGATTACAAATTCAATTATTGCCAATGTCTTCGTTGAACCAACTCTTTTTACACAGGATTACCAAGCCACAGATTACCTTTTACAAACTGTTGCATGAATAAGAGATTGTTATATAAACATAACCAAATTAAACAACAGCTCTTTCAATTTTCTTTTACTTAAAAAACAAACTCGGTATACTTTCATTTGCGCCTCAAATCGTATTTATTTTCCAGTGAAACATAACCTTCCTTGTCATAAGATGCGACACACACACGCACACTTTAACTATGGATGAATAATTATAACTCAGGGTATATTAAAAAGTCCTATCCCTGTTATAGTCGAGTTTACGTCATATCGGCGACATAGAACTACCTACACGAAGCTAGAGCGTGAGTTGTCAGGCCAGATACATTATGCACTTACAAACTCATAACATATTTACATGGTTTTAACTTAGCTGTTTTATTTTAAGTCCTTTGTCTTGCTTCCGTTCAGCCACCATGGTAATGCAGCAGGAAGTGATTTGTCATACACGGTTTTGCGTAAAATACAAACAAGTCTCCTTTAGTGTTGTATATATTGTACAAAATCATACACGGTAAATGTGTACTTGTATTGAACAAAAAGATCTCCTTTAGTGTTGTTCACACACACACACACACACACGCACGCACGCACGCACACACACACAAGCACGCACGCACGCACGCACGCACGCACGCACACACACACACACACACTTGTTTTCAAAATCCTGAATCAGCCTTTGAATAATAAAAGTATTTTGGGATAAGGGTCCAAGCACTGCAGGGTACATAAAGGTACATTTCCTGCACTAAATGATCATACCTTCTGGGTTAAAGGGGTTCGATTTAAGTGATGAAATCTTAACTGTCTTTATGCGTACTTATTACCCGAGAACATATCCTATTTTCCTGAATAAATTCATTTAATACAACAAATTCGTTCATACCCGTCAATCCGATGCGATATTTTCTATAATACTGTACACGCGGATGGATTTAACAATATATGTTTAAAGTAACTAAACAAAACAGGAATTAAGGTATATAGATTTGAATCGCATTTTTTTTAAAGCACTGTAAAATATTGAAGGAGGGTTCATCATTTACAACCCTTATATTTTTGACATTGTCAAAACGTGTGTAGTCTTAAAATGCCCGTCAGACAGCATTAATATTCCTTTGTTTGCCGATACGCATCTAAAGAAAAATACGTCATAAAAAAATCACCACATTAAAAAGACGTTGCTCTTCCCCACTACGCCTATCACAGTTAATAGCTTCGAATACAATGTCTGATTTGTCGACGTGTCTTATTACTCGACACGTGAAGAATTCCATTGGCAGACTGACGTTCAACTGGCACGCGTCTCCTAACATTAACACCTCAATAAAACGCCATTCCATATGCCCCATACGGAGGAGACATCTCCAGAGGGTCCGCGTGATGAATTCAACATCGTCCCGCAACATTTAGAGTGGTTTAAAATACAGAAGCCTAGTTTGCACAGTAATATATGACTTAATGAACAAAGCCTGTTATCGGGAACGTCTCCTAGATGGCGCTATTTGTAGACGTAATGGCGGGACGGAAGGGGAGGTAATTCTCGCATGCTTTTATGCATTGCATATGGGCGCAAATAGCTTTTCGTGGCCTAAGTTCACCTTTTATTGCACTGCTACACCTTAAGTTAGCACAATATTGTTTGATGGTTATTTAGTCATACCTTTGGTATTTCATTGTTTTCAAACCTATTTTAAGCATCATACATATTATATAGTTAAAAGCAAAATTGCGTTGGTGGGGAAAACTGTAACGAGTCTTTTATGTTTAAACAATTTACGAAAATTCAAAGAATGGCATCTGCCTATGATTGGCTAAAATAATTTCTGATAGTTTAACTTAAAGAAAGGTTGACTTAGTGGTCACAATATGTGATGAATTAAAACATTTTGAGGCACCAACAAGCTGATCACATGTTCGTTATAATCAGTGCCTCGTTGAGAGTTACAGTATATACACATTTTTATAAAGTTATAAAGGATATAAGTAATAATTATCTAAAAAAACCTGGAAACCTTTTAACAACGATCTAAAAATTAAGTCCCTTTCAAAAGGCATTATATATTTTCAACTACATGTTTATATTTGGACTCTGTACACCTGTTTCGTGTAATGACATGTGGCTAAATGTTCCACCATGATGAATATATCTATACAGACAGACAGACAATTTATTCTTATTTTGTGGCCATGAGGCCAATAGTACAGGGCAGTTTTAAAAAGGTATGCCTAGGACGCCTGTTAACATCAGCACTTCTATACAGTTGTAGACAATTTGCATTTATCTTTTTGTCATTTTGTTTAAATAAGGTGAGTCGTTAAATAATGTTTTGTATTTTGGGATTTTAGAAGATGTATACATTTTTGTTGATTTAGGTTGCTGGTATAG